CGGGGCCTCCTCTGGACTCTCTCCAGCAGCTCCACGTCCTCCTGCTGCTGTTCCCAGGGCTGGAGCAGCTCTGCAGGTCCCATCCCTGTGGATCCTTCAGCCTCTCCTCAGTCTGTCTCAGTTCTGAGCCCTTCCAGTGTGGGAGATGAGGTTGGAAGGGCTCAGTGGTTCCCCCTGGGAATCCCAGGACCTTTAGTGAGGGTCCCAGTTCCTGCCTGGGAGGGTGATGGCCCTGGAGAATGTGGGGCTTTCACACTCTTTTGGTCATTGGAAACTTTCTTGGTAGTTTTACAGAGGGCTGTGGGACCCTGCACTTCCAAAAACATCTCTGAAATTCCTGGTGCCACTTCATTGTTCAAAATAAAGGATCTTTGAGCAAAAGTACTTTTTTTGCTTCTCTTCCCTTTCTGCTGAAGGTCACAGATCCCATTACTTTTTTTCCCCAGCATTACTGGTGACCTTTTTGATTTTGGATAACTTTTATCATCTCTGGGTCAGGAATTAATGATCAGCTGGGGCAGGATGGAGGAGCCAGGACCAGGGTTATGGAATAAACCCCAAATCCAGATTTCAGTGGCTGCTGCCTGGGTGAAAAAACAGTGAACTCGGTTAATTACAGCAAATTTACTTTTTTTTTCCTGCCTCTGCCTCTCCTGCCTTTGCTGACGGGGTGTTTTTAGAGGCTCCTCATTAACATAATCCTCTCTCATGCATTATTCATCTATTTTTACATTTTTATCTCATATTTTATTTATACCAACGGGAATATGTTAGAAAATAGTACAAATTCAGCTGTGATCTCCAGTAATGCTGGTTTGAGCTGGACCTGTGAGTCAGGAGGGCAGGGAAGGCACCTGCTGAGTGCTGGGGTTTGGGGAGCTGTCATTGACATCCTCAGAATTCTCATGGGAAGAACCTGAATTCTGTGGGGAACCAGGAGCTGCTGGGGAGCAGGGCTGGGCTCAACCTCCTGTTCCTCTGCTATTCATTCCCAGGGCAGAGAGCAGGGAGAACAGTGGGGTGTTACCTCTGTACTGGTTGTTCTTCAGTTGTGAGGCTGTTCCAGGCTGATTTCAGTGCTGGAAAGGCCCAACCCCAGAGCTCAGCCCTTCCTTGGTGATCCCTGCCCAGCTCTGTCAGGGCTGGGCAGGCACCTGCTGCTGGGGCAGGGGCTCAGAGAGGGGAATTGATTCAAATGTTAAAATATCTCACTGTGCCCCAGCGTGGGCACAGGCCCAGGGCAGGGATTGTCCCTGTGCTGGGAACTGGGGAGGCCCCCCTGGAATCCCGGGGGCAGTTCTGGGCCCTCAGCCAGGAGAGACCTGGAGGGGCTGGAGCGTGTGCAGGGAAGGGAAGGGAGCTGGGAAGGGTCTGGAGCAGCAGGAGGGGCTGAGGGAGCTGGGGGGGCTC